TTTTTGAGACGAAGTCTCACTCTGTTGCCCAGGCTGGAGTGTATTAGCACGATCTTGGCTTATTGCAACCTCTGCCTCCCAGGTTCAAGCAATTCTGCTGCCTTGGCCTCTTGAGTAGCTGGGATTACAGGCACCTGTCACCATGCCTGGCTAATTTTTCGTAGAGACAGGGTTTCACCATGTTGGCCAGGCTGGTTTTGAACTCCTGACCTCAGGCAATCCACCTGCCTTGGCCTCCCAAAGTGCTGGGATTACAGGTGTGAACCACTGTGCCCACCTAATTTTTGTATTTTTAGTAGAGACAGGGTTTCACCATGTTGGCCAGGCTGGTTTTGAACTGACCTCAGGTGATCTACCTGCCTTGGCCTTCTAAAGTGCTGGGATTACAGGCATGAGCCATTGCACCTGCCTAATTTTTGTATTTTTAGTAGAGATGGGGTTTCACCATGTTGGCCAGGCTAGTTCTGAATGCCTGACCTCAAGCGATCCTCCTGCCTCAGCCTCCCAAAGTGCTGGGGTTACAGGCATGAGCCACCGTGCCTGGCCCATTTTCTTAATGCATGTTTTTTTCTAATTCTTACAACAACCCTGAAAAGTAGTTGTTATCCTGAGTTTTTGCAGATAAGGACTCAGAAAAGTTATGGTATGTGTCTACTCTCTCATTGTTCTAAGTAGCAGAGTCAGGATTTGGGCCCAGGTCTACCTACTGCAGAGCTTGCTCTTCTATATCACATTTTTTTGTAGATTATAATGATGGAAATGTAAGTGCTCTTGATATGTCTTTCACCTTCTAGATGAGGGCATAGAGGAAGCATCCATGCATTCTAAGAAATACCTTCAGTATTTCTGTCAGAGTCATGAGATGAACAGAGCATTTGCTTTCATAGGATGGTATTTCTCATGTGCTTATAATTTTTAATGCAGTTGTGCAATAAGTGTTCCCAGATATAGGGAACAAAGCAATGGAGAGAGAATCCTTGAGTGATAACGGCTTGTTTCTTTTTCTCAGAGACACTGAGAGGAACAAAGACATTGCTTTTCTAGAAGCCCAAATCTATGAATATGTGGAGATTCTTGGGGTAAGTGACTGCTGAAAGTGGAAAATGGTATAAAGTACGGGAGTTAAAGGGAGAGGAACTTACGGAAGATATTTTTTTCTCTAGGTTCAAAAGAGGAATGGATAGGTGATAAACTAGTACGGCACAAAGTAGAGGTCAGGGTACCAGGCTCTTGAGTAAGTTTGTATTCTGTTGTTAGATGATACACCCAAAGTTGCCCAATTCCCATAAGGCCAGGCATGGAGAAGAGAGTCCCTTCTTAATATAATGTCCAGAATAGTGCAGGTTCTTTGCCTGGGCTTCAGAAAATACTCAGGGGTGGCCCACAAAGCAGACACTTTGTAGCAGGTAACATGCTACTCGCAGCAGCCTTTCAATTATGACTTACGAAAAGGCATTGACTTATATGTTCATAAGATTGTGAGAAACTTAGTAGGGCTAGAGTATTAGTAGTACAAAGCTGGCAGTGAATGTTCTCCTTGAATATTTCAGGACGAGCTGAAGTGTGGGTTGGGGTAAAAAAGGGCTTAGCCTGACCAAGATGCTTATCTCAGAGAGAAAGTAGGGAGAGGAGTAGGAGGAAAATAAATCTCTTTCCAGGAAGAAAAGGCAGCACTAATCATCCAGAGAAGATGTTCAGTGTCTTTCCTCCAGAGCCACTGTGTAGAGTTTCTTTCTTTTTCTTTTTTCTTTTCTTTCTTTTTTTTTTTTTTTTTTTTTTTTTGAGACAGAGTTTCACTCTTGTTACCCAGGCTGGAGTGCAATGGCGCGATCTCGGCTCACCGCAACCTCCGCCTCCTGGGTTCAGGCAATTCTCCTGCCTCAGCCTCCTGAGTAGCTGGGATTACAGGCACGCACCACCATGCCCAGCTAATTTTTTGTATTTTTAGTAGAGACGGGGTTTCACCGTGTTGACCAGGATGGTCTCGATCTCTTGACCTCGTGATCCACCCACCTCGGCCTCCCAAAGTGCTGGGATTACAGGCTTGAGCCACCGCGCCCGGCCCTTCTTTTCTTTCTTTTCTTTCTTTTTTGAGACAGAGTCTCGCTTTGTCACCCAGGCAATCTCGGCTCACTGCAACCTCCGCCTCCCGGGTTCAAGTGATTCTTCTGCCTCAGACTCCTGAGTAGCTGGAACTAAAGGCACGCACCACCACGCCCAGCTAATTTTTTGTGTTTCTAGTAGAGGCAGGGTTTCACTATATTGTCCAGGCCGACCTCATGATCTACCCGTCTCGGCCTCCCAAAGTGCTGGGATTACGGGCATGAGCCACTGCGCCTGGCCCAATTTTTAACTTTCAGAGCCTTTCCCTTTACACACACTCACATAGTCCTTTGAGTGGATAGCTCTGGGTCAGATAGCTTGTTTACATATTTTTGTTAATTGCTGTGGACATTTTCATTCTGCCCTTGTTTGAGGACCATCTATATAATAGCTGTAGAACTAGTCAGCTGTGATTCTGTTATGACTGCTTTCAGTAAAAGGCTAGCTAGACATTGGATATTGTAGAGACATACTCTTCGCTATGAACTTTGGCTATGCTAGGCTGTGCTGCCAGTCCTGTAAAGGTGGCTAGGAGGCCACTGACAAAATCATGCCCTTGACATGAGGTTTGTCAACTCTCTCGCTTTTTTTTTTTTTTTTTTTTGAGACAGAGTCTTACTCTGTCACCCAGGCTGGAGTGCCGTGGCGCAATCTCAGCTTACTACAACCTCCACCTCCTGGGTTCAAGCCCTTCTCCTGCCTCAGCCTCCTGAGTAGCTGGGACTACAGGCATGTGCCACCACACCTGGCTAATTTTTGTCTTTTTTAGTAGAGATGGGGTTTCATCATGTTGAACAGGCTGCTCTTGAATTCTTGGCCTCAAGTGATCTGCCTACCTTGGCCTCCCAAAGTGCTGGGATTACAGATGTGAGCCACCACACCTGGCCCTTTTTTTTTTTTTTGAAATAGTGTCTCACTCTGTCACCCAGGCTGGGGTGCAGTGGCTTGATCTCGGCTCACTGCCTCCCAGGTTCAAGTGATTCTTGTGTCTCAGCCTCCCCAGTAGCTTGGACTACAGGTAGGCGCCACCATACCCGGTCAATTTTTGTATTTTTGGTAGAGATAGGGTTTTGCCATGTTGGCCAGGCTGGTCTTGAATTCCTGGACTCAAGTGATCCTCTTGCCTTGGCCTCCCAAAGTGCTGGGGTTACAGGTGGGATCTATCAGGGCTGGCCTCTCCCTCCTTTAAGAGCATTTTGTTTTCCCTGCCAGGAGATGGCACTATTTTCTTCAGAATTCCAACTAGTTCCAGCCAAATACTTTACAGAAAGTTACTCTCACTATGAACTGGTAAAATTTTTACCATTATTACACTATTTGTTGATGTCGTATTTTGGACATTATGTGAATTTTTTTGGTACAATAGTGACTATGACACAGCCTCTTGCCCTTGAGAAACTCATTTTGTGGTGAAGGGAGACAAATAATTGTAATATAATATGATACATATCTTAATACAGTGAGGTTGAGCTTTTTAAGTAGAAAGAGGGAGAAGAAAAAGTTCCTGGTAGAGGAAACAGCAAACACAAAGATACAACAGTATTAGATAAAATTATGTGTTCATGAAATGAGAAATGTAGTGTGCCTGGAATATGACTTGTGAGGGAGGGAATGGTGAGAGAAAACTTGAGAGACTTATGTTGGAAATTTGGACTTTACCTTATAAGCAGTAGGAAGCCAATAGAAGTT